ATGTTAAAATTGTTTCCTAAACTGTTTTCAGTGTCTCATGGAGAATTCGTTTTTTATGTAAGAAAACCAGTGTATATATCAAATTCTACAAAACAACACGAGATTGAAACTGACAGGGAATTGAGTCATTATTCTGTAAAGATTGAAAGATTTCACAATAGCTCACGTCAAATAGCTCTCATATAAGTTCATGTATACTCATTGCACAAATATAATAATAAAAAAATAATAATAAAAATACCTCTTCGTCCATTGTTTAAAAGGTTTGTTGGAAGTTACTAATCATGAATTGACATTGAAATTGAATTGTTATTAATTGCACCTTATAAAAATAAACATCTCCCTATCTTATAGGCTTTACAGTAAAGCACCACCTATTAATAACATGGTCTATGTCCATACGTATATAATTAAATGGTACGTATATTTAACCTACTTGTAATCATCCGTTATTTAAGTATGTAATAGAATTAGGGTAAACATAACAGATATTTTTCCTTATATCTTGTAATTGTTGACAGAATTTGTATCAATGTTTTGAAGAATATTTTCACATGGCATATCCGTTGGGAGTTAAGCTTCTCAAAAGGAAACATAACATATTACAAGGAAGGGTCATTAGGTATTGCATAGAATGGTGTCACGTCACGCGTTGCCGCATATGCCACACTAAAACCTTACCATAACAGTAAATAGATACATTTACTTTTGTGTTGTGATTTGTTGTGTTTTGTACAATCGAGAAGCTAAGATTTGAAGTTTATGTATTTCAAAGTACAAAAGCTATATATAAACCTAATATGAAAGGCGAACCTTTTAGACACCCATAAGCCGCTCACATATTAACTGCATACTTGTGTGCTGCAAGGTGTTAACAAGCAACCCGTATGGGTATTTTCCTGTAGACTTCATGGTCTTTATTTTTTTGTCCCGTAAAAATAGTTTAGTTTTTTTAGTTTTTTTTTCGATGAACCCTCAACTAAGAAAACGAATCTCAATATTAAAATGTTGTATTTAATTACCGGTACATTTAAAATATTTAATATGCGTTAGCTGTTGTATGTGTGTAGGCTGTTGTGTTATTTAAAAATTTTTGGAAATTAGTTTTGATTCAGCAGCACAGCTGACTGCAAATACCTAAACCAAAGCGATACTTGTAATAGGCAACAAGTATGATTGACTTTGTCTCTATAATAAGTGAGGTGTGTGAAACTGTTTTCACAGGGTATTTATTTAAATAACTTCATTATTTCCTCTGTATTCTCACCAGGCAGAACCTCTAGTATAAGCTAACAATGTTATTAATGAAAGATTATTATGAATCTACTTGCACTTAGTATCTTATCTATATTACTTATTTAATACGCAAGCAGGATTTTTGTGACAATTACTCCTCCGAAGCTACTGAACCGATTGAGATGTTTTTGGTGTCATTGGAAAGAGCGTAACGTGAAGTTGTGCAGGAAACTTTCTTTGTAGGGAAATAATTACAGAGTGAGGCCCTGGAGCCCTTTAAAGTTTCGTATTTCTCCATAAGATTAACATGGGAAACGAACATTGTTTTGAAACTCCAGCTGTTGTCAGAAATTATATTAATAGTTGGTCTCCATGGAAGCATGAGAAAATTCACAATGTTTACATTTGCTTTGACATTTAAGTGTAAACAACCGGAACTGTCAAATCCTATTTCACAATTTCAGACAGCTGATAAAAAAAAAAACTATGTGGTAGGGTTATTTAATCTTAAATTTTATGATAGATTATTTATTATAAATCTATTTCAATGATTATGAAACATATTTTTGCCGTTGCGAAAGAAACATTAATAGTGAGAAGAACATTTGTTAATTGTAAACAGTCAATGTGTAAATTATCAATGTTTTATTAAAAATGTGTATAGTTTTGGATGTTGGTTTGTGTTTAATGATATAAGTTATTAGTTATTGAATTTTTATTTTAAGGATTTGGCATATGAGTAAGCCTATGATAAATAACACCATTTCAGAGTTCAGTCAGTTTTTGCCTAACTCTGTCCTGTAGAGTTTGAAGTAGCCTACACCTTATTGTCTACAAATTGGCTAAATAACTTAGGTACGGTACTTTATAAAAGCTGGCAGCCTTTTTACGTTGACTTAAATTGTAAGCTTACCTTTTCCCGTCAATGGGCAGTTTGATTGTTAAAAATTAATCTTTTAAACTGGAATAGGACTGTTATGTAAATTGTGAGTATTTCTATTAGTTAATAATCTTTTAGTCGACTCTTTTAAAAGCATTGGAAATTATGACTGTTATTAGTTTTTAAACAAGTTATTTGTTTTTAAATAACTCCTTTACTTATTTGCAATTGCTCGATTTCGAGCAACATGTACACTAGTACTTATTTAATACGCAAGCAGGTTTTTTGTGACAATTACTCCTCCGAAACAACTGCACCGATTGACATGTTTTTGGTGTCATTGGAAAGAGCGTAACTTGAAGTTGTGCAGGAAATCTTCTTTTTCGGGAAATAATTAGAGAGTGAGGCCCTTTAAAGTTTTGTATTTCTCCATAAGATTAACATGGGAAACAAAAATTGTTATGAAACTCCAGCTGTTGAAAGAAATTAAAAGTGATAAGAAGAACATATGTTAATTGTAAACAGTCAACACGTTTGCTAATTTAACAGTTTGCTACAAACATTTACTGACTTGGTTGAAATGAAATATTTACAATTTGAATTTGGGTTGGCATAAATATTACAACGGAAAAAAGGGAGAGAGCCTAGATAAATTTATATACCGGCACTAAAAAGAAAACTGAATTACCACTGTGCTGCATTTCTCAGTAATCATCGAAAGAGCTGATTTGCAAAGTATGGAAATATAGGAAAGACATAGAACACCACCAAGGAGAAGAAATAGAAGTAATGTTTTTATTAATTTATAATCGTTATTATGGACAACCTAATGTGGCTATGAGTAAGGCTATTTGTAGAAAACACCAAAAAAACAAGATCAGCTTTACAAAAATTATAAGATATTTACGAGAAATTTTGATTATATCGATCTGTTATGTACATCTCGAGAGTTTCCATAATCTTTGAGCCGAATCTTTTAAAGTCATCAGAAATGAGGACTGTTATTCGTTTTAAAATAACACCTGTAATACTTAGTAACTGCTCGAATTCGAGCAACAGGGACACTAGTTATGATTATTATTCTTAATCGAATAATTATTTTGTAATTCATATATGGAACTCATTAAGATAGTCTTAAAAATTAACAAGCGACAGACATACGTTAAAGTTAAATATAATAAATAATTAGCAAAGACAAATGTTATATTTACTTATCTATTTACATACTGGATAGATTACAATAAAGTAAGACTTGTCTTAAGGCAGAAATCCTTTAATAAATCGGTATAATATAGGCCTATGGGCTTTAAGAACATATAAACATATTACAGTCGTAAGCAGATCTAGTTTTCCTCACGTGGCAAACCTGTGGCTAACCTGTGGCAAACCTGTGGGAAAGTAATGACGGGAGTGAAACTGACGAGAAATTGTAGAATCAGTCTTCAGCTTCAGTGACAAGTCGAATGGAATGTTTTGGCAATCATCTGTTTCAGAGAGAAGATATTTTATCTCATTCAATCTTTCCTGAGGTTAATTGTTTGAAGATCACAGGCGTTATTTTTTTTAAGTCCATAGCAATTTTGTTTTTGAATAGACTTGTATATTAAAAATAACGACAAATTCTCAGTAAGGGAGGAGAGGATATTTGAATTTTAGTTTGGAATTATAATAGTTTTATGTATTAAAGTGTAACCGTAGCTGCAATACTATGGTATTAAATATTGATTTCTTATTGAATTATCTCAATTTATCAGTGAGGTTTGTATCTATTTTAATTTTTGACACAACCTTTATAATTCAATTACAGTACATAAAACTAATATGTGAATAAAATAAATTCATTCAAATAAGATTGTTAAAAATTTTAACTTTAGGTGGAATTATCGAAGTGATAATATAATTATCGATATAATATTGACATCGATAGCTTATGTATGCTATATTTATAAATGTATAAACTATAAAACTAAGATTCGCATCATATAATACGTACAAAATATTCTGTGACCCTTCCTTATAATATGCTATGTTTTAATTTGATAACAATGATACACACCCCTCAATTTAAATATCGAACTCTTAGGCTAAAAGATACTGCCAAATCTCTTATGAATTAATTATTCTTCTACAATACAATGTCAAGGACAATGCTTGGAGACCAAACTAGAATTATTCATGTTGGTTATGTAGATTCTCAGAATCAGTATTTATCACATACATTGTACTAGAATACTCTATAGACAGGAAGGTGGGACAATCTCTTATACTACTTCAAAAGCTCGGTATTATCTATCGTTGTATGCTTTCAGAAAGTAATTTTGATCTCTTAACAAAGGTTTTACATACATTTTCAAAACACCTAATGAACTAACTTACTGATTTCACATACGTTTTCTTATTACCATATTACATAAGGTTTTAAATATGATTTACTGCTAAGTTATAGTCTCGTACTTTCACACATTCTCGCTTTAGTAAATCTATTGAAGCCGAAAATTATTGGAGAACCCAGTATGTTACTTGGTTAACTCTTTTCTTAGGCAACCAAAATTTAAAAATCATAAAAATGCTCATCCATTGTTTCTTGACTCCAGATGACCATTTTTGTCCTAAGCCATTTTAGCCAAAGTATGAAGACGTTTTGACACCGAAACAATCATCAAGGGTAAAGCTAACGGCTTAGTTGCCAGGTTTTGAAACAACGTTAGATTTGCAAAATGTCTGATTATTAACTAATAATAATAGTCAAATACATTTTATTTGCTAATTCATAGTTTACTTACCTCCTTAGCAAATTAAAACTCTTTTACACAATTAAAGCTCGTTTTCACATTAATTAGACTGGAAAGGTCGGAAAAAATTAGTTGTACTTTTTATTTGTTGATGAAGCATTTTTATTTTTTATTTCCAGTTTTTAACTCCGTTTTCCTAAGCCCTGATGCAATAGTTAACACTTCCTTGTAATACATGATATTTTTATGAATAAAGTCCACCTGACCTTCAAAATTATTCAGAGGAATGCTCGGCTCGACCTTGAGTTTGCGACACATACAACGGTAAAGGTCATTGATTCCTTGGCTGAGCGCAGAAGATTCGTCCATCTTAACTGACAGAGCATTCTTGATCCTTTGTATCGTGTATTCCCAGTGGTGTCTTCTATCTCGAGCGTCCTTCCTCTGAACTTCCAGTGCAACCAGTCTGTTGTTAAGAGATTTTAGGACTGAAGATTTATCTTCCAGCACCACCAACATTTTTTTCCTCAACTCTGCTGCCTCCTCTAGTTCCTGCTCCAGAATCCTCCCGCATTCCTCATGGGTTCTGCGAAGAGTCTCGTACCTATCTAGAACGTCTCTCACCGTCCTCCAGTTTTCCTCATTTCCTGACACACTCTCCAGAAAGTTTTCAAATATGGAGTATTTGTCTAAATATTGTTTAAACTGTTGTTCAATATGTCTATATTCCTTTAAATTTTCTTGAGTCGCTTCAATTCCTTTTTCCACGACTACTTTGTATCTGTCATTTTCCTTTATTATCTCATGAAATCTTGCTTTAGAAGCTTGGTTTTCTTTTATGCCTTTCTCCGCGTTCACGAAAAGCTCTTGTAGGTCTCCTTTTTTCTTTTCGATGTCTTCCCAACTAGAGGCGATGTCAATCTTATCACTTTTAGATTTGATTTGGTTTGAAATTGAATAATCTACCGCTTGCTTATTATGTTCTACACACTTTCTAAGATTCAATAAAGGATGCACCGGTGGAAACAACATTTCTGGAGCTGATGGGTCAGACGTATCATGCTGTTGGCTTCCTTCTGCTTCTGTCTTAAGTTGCCTTGACATTCCTGTAATGCAATACCAAAGGTCTAAGTCATTGATAGTTATTTTATAAAACATACATAATAAGTGAATCTATAAATGTAATGAATAGTGTATTTTTATATCCAAGATATTTTTAACAAACGATTATACTTACGTATTCTCATCTCATCCCAAACAGCAGTATCATTTATTCCTTCGTCAATTTCGTCTTCATCGTCCATTTCTCCTACCTCAGGGCACGACGGATCGTAAAATACAAACGAATTTAGTTTAAAATTAAATTTGCACGGACTACTACGATGTTTTTGAACTTCATTTATTAACTAAACAACAAAGTAAATATTTTTGACAGTCATATGTTTCAAAGAAGAAATAATTGCATGTGGCTCTTGTAAACAGGACTATTGTTGATGTTACCGTTGTTTATGTCCAAGACAGCTAAAGTCAACGTTCTAGGTGGCTGCAAAGTGCCTTACATAAGATACCATGTTTATTCTAGCAGATAAAACAAACGTCAATAGTAACGTATATTACATGGATAAGTCCACTTGCCTAGACCGGCCACACATAGCTATGATTCTTATAACGGATTCATTCAAATACATTTTAATACCTTTAAATATTTATAAAAAAAGGAAAATTACTGCAATAAACAAGACATTCGTTGAATTTTCTAAGCTTTGTTTCCAGCGATAAAAGTGACATTAATCCTTGGTCGCGCTGGCGTTGGGACAAATCCCTTTTCTTTGCGCCTCTTTAAGTCCTTTTGTTTCAAGTAAGAAAAACTAAACCTTCCACAAATGCGCCTGTTTTTGGTTACATTACCCAACGTAAAGAGTGGAAATAGAGTATCGTCAAATAAATACAGCAAAAGCTTAAAATGAAATATTAGTTATATTTCGCCCGGTTGACCATTCAACATTTGTGTTCCTAAGTAAAATTTAACAGTATTGCGATTATTTATTATTTTAATTAAATTTTTTAAATCACAATTTTAACCTAATTGTATTAACTGATTGAAATTAATTACCCTACGTGTTTAAAAATTTCCAATGTGGTATATGAAAGTACAATTGCTTGTTCAAACCTCTCTAGGGTGCATTGCGTAGCTTTATTGAGAGCCTACTGAAGAATCATACTATTTTTTTTTAAGGTAGGCCTATCGTGTAAGAATAATATTATCAGTAAATTAACCTGACTCCGGCTGATTTTACCAATCTCTTTCTGTAAACAATGACTTTCCGGTCTGAAAAGAGTGCAGAAACCAGCAAATGACGAGTCAAGCACGCTCAACCCAAATTGGAATGTCAAACAATCTCATGGAATGACCTTAGGACATATTAACACCGCAATTTATTTAAAAATGTCTTTTATGGATACTTTTACATTAAACACTTTTTGTATAAGATACAACTATGTCAATACTATACAGATAAGCATCGCTCGCCGGACTAAAGCATAGTACGACTGTTTTAAGTAGTTTTGTTCGAGAGTTAGAGTGGGGCAATAAGTTTGCTGGGTTGTTTCAGCCAGGGTTGGCATACAAGTGGCTACTTACCGCTTGTAACTCCGCTCTATAACTAACACTGGTATGCAAACGGGGATTACTTCTTATTGAAAATGTAACAACGGTTGTCTCAAACATTGATGTCTTATTTTATCCCCACACAAGTGAATCAAGCGTCAAAAAATTAATCTTATTTAGATACTTAAAAATCATAAAACTACGTTATGTTATATGGTGTAAGAAAGGGGATTAACCCCGTACCCACGGTGCTCATCTATGCAGACACTCTGTTCACATTACACTTAGTCGACCAGTTGGTGTGAACAGAGTTGAACAGTAGCATGAGCATCGATTTACAAATTCCTTTCCCAGCTGATGTGAGCTAGGCGATGACCGGTAGGGCTGACTTCCAAGAAACACCGTTAACCTATAAGCCACACACCCTATCGGTAATCAGCCAATGAGAAGGGCTAATGAAGAAGATGGAGGGGTCAAGACTCTTGGAGCTGGAGGATCTGAAGGAAAACATCGAGGAGATCACCACGGGCCACCGGAGGAAGAAGATCGGGAGTTTGGGAGTGCGTGTATCGGTGCGTGTGCTTCTGGGACAATTAACAGTATGTAAAAATAATAAAATATATAACTAAAGTTTTGTCAAACATACAAGTCATGTAATTTGTCAGTAACTAATTCTTTTAAATTTTCAATTGATTTTCTTTTCTTGTAAATTTAACGTTGTAAATTAATTTATCTTATTATTGTTGATTTTTGCCTTTTCTAAGTCTTCTTTTGCTGTTGTAACTCTTGTTACTTTTGTTGTTTTTCTAAATTGAAGTTTTTGTTCATTACACGTTGAGTAACACCCTTAAGCAGTCTTATGTCTCATTAACCTAACACCTCTTGACTAAGCTAAGCGAGTGAATCATTTTAGGAAACTTAAACTTAAAGTGAGGCATGGGACTCGCAATGGATACGAAGAATTATAAAATAAATTAAATAACTGTTTTTTTCACCTGGTGGTCCAACGTTATTTAAAGAAAAATATATAATGCTAGTTTATTATTTTGTCTTGGTTCGCCAATTAACTGTCAATGTGCTTATTTGTGTTTTTATCTGTTCGACAATACATACCATCAAAATGAAGAAGTGCTAGTAAAACAAAATAATTTAATAGTAAAGTTTTTGATTCAGGAAAATATAAAATGTAGTTATTCTGTAGCCATTAACTCTACATTGACCTTTAAATCGAAGAAAGGAAATAAAACCAAATGTTTACAGTACCGTTTAAAATTTGTTTGAAAATAAAAACCAATTTTTTAAATTTAATCTTGAATTGCTGTTATTTTCTAAAATAAATAACACAAACAATTTAATGTGTTTATTTAATTTTGGTTACCATCTATTAATTACTACAATAACCATATAATGAGAAGAAATTTAAACAAAACTGACTATAATAAAGCTTGGCAATATGTTGATTTGTTTCCCTTAACGATTGATTAATCAATTAATACTGTAATTTAGTATTTAAAATAACGCAAATATAAAGAGTAGAATCTTAGACATTTCTGAATTAAATTAGTCGCTTTTTATCTCGACAGGTTTTATTAGGTAGGTAAGGAATTTAATAATACTTCAGTTTGAAAGGAATGTGAGTAGGCCTCGTTTATCGCCTTGAATAACGTTTGAATAATTAATTGTTAATCAAAGTAACGATTTTGTATATTGCTGCTGTTGTTTAAACGACGATAATGTACGACATGTATAAAACCATTGTTTTCTAATCAAACAAAACAAGGAGTGAAGGTGTTTTCCGTTTTTCTTTCAAGAAAAGTAAAAAAAATACTAAAAATAGTAGGTACGTAGCTACGTAGCACATAATAATTTAGATACATTTTATTCGAAAACAATTAAACAGTAATTTAGGGCTATATAACATTGTAAAAAAATGTATCACGTTTGATCCTCGCACAGTTTATAGCCTAAGATATAAATAAGTATGATTTTAAAGAAGATTAAACCAAATCCAAGATTACCTGTGGCTGAATTCAACGGGGTTTGTAAACTATGAATTAAACATCGTCTCTTGAGATTCGTGTACTTTGGTTGATTGGCAGATTCGTCGTTACATGTTTACTTCAGCTAAATATACTTTTTAGGAAATAAACGAATTTTTACATTATTAGTTTGTGTTTTATGCGGGATCGGTATCCTTTTATTTTTAAAATTGAACTGTCTACATGGTGGCCTTGTTACTATAACGTGCATCTTTTGTTGGATACCAAATTAAATGGATAGCCCAATGACAAACGGAATATCTAAACTTAACTTGGGATCGAACCAGAGACCTTCAGATTTGATGGCGAGCACTACTTTCAGATTGAATTTTGAACTACTTGCATGGTATTTTTTGCTGTAGGGACTGGTTGCTATACATTGACTATTGATAAATAATAATACCAAAATCTTTCATTGTAGATTGCAGATATCAAGTATCGTAACACTTAAACAATAACTTAAATTTCTATAGTCATTCTTTTCGTAATCAAAAATAAATTTCGTAGGGAATCTAGTAAAAATCCTGTGATTGACTACATTAAAAAAAAATAGCCATTAATGTTTTAATTGCTTAATAGGGTACATATAACTGTTTATTATTAGTTTACCAATTATAATAACATTTATTCGACACGATGGTGACACAAAGTAAAAGCTAACGAACATTTTACATCTGAAAAGACAACACTGATAAGATTTCCTTGATTAAATCAAGGCTCTGAAATGTATGCCAACTCAATAAAACGTCAAATTTATATGACAAGCTTAATGGCGCTCTCCTTCAACCAATCAGTTCTTGACATTTTATATTATTTACATTCCCTCCGAAAACGGCTGTTCAATCTTTTGGTTTATTCTGATCAAACTCGTGATTTTTGGTATTGATAGAATATATAATTTTCTTTTCAGTTTTGATAAAATAGTGTTTTTTGTGGACACCTAGTTTTCTATAATAATGTCATGCATTGTGCTGGAACAGTATAACAGTAGGAGTTGATCCAACAATATAACAACAAGCAACAGTATAACAACCACTGGTTGATCATGTATGAAAAACGAATGGCCTACATTATTAATCTAACCCGAGAAATCACTTAAATATTTTAAAACGTGCTATACTGTCTATTGAATCATAGACCAACTACCCTTTTACGAGTGCAGAGATGCAGCTTTTGCGAGAAGAACATTCTTTTTCTTGAGGCATTGACTGAAATAAGCCCCCAATTACGATATTGGTCCTGATCAAAGTGTAAGATGCTGAAAATATTCTTGGTCGTGCAGAATGGAGTCTAGTTCCTCCAAAACAATATTGGTTTTATTTAGGCTTGCCGGGTATTCAAGAAAATCTTCTCGTCGCTTTGCCTTCTAAAAGACAATTCGATAGCCTTTCAACGACGGAGGTGACAGCTCTAAGGCTGATGAACTGCCTTAACATGTCCCACGTTCACATCTTCAAACGCTAGCCTACAACTTTTTTAGATATTAGTTTAGTTTAGGTCTATAGCATTGGAAAAATATTACTTTGATTCAAATTCACGGGTGATTGGTTCGATTCAAACCCGGGACCTCAGGGACCGAAGTCCCGCGCTCTCATTAGACGAGCTTCCTCCCCATGTTCCTGTTAACATTTCATTTTTTTTTCTTACGCGTATGCGCTGCTCTAGGTGTTCTCTGTATTCAAAGAGCTAAAATACGAGAACAATTTTAGAGTAATCCATTTGGATATTAAATTATTGGCTTTTATCTCGTAAAATATATGGT